GGGGAATTCTGGGAGTTGAAGTCCACTCATCTTAAAGTGGCCAAGTTTGCACAACACTGATATAAGGGATCAGCATACAATAAACCCCTGAGAAACGGACAGGCTTGCACTTATGCACGTGAGTAAGTGTTGTAGCCATCCCAAGGCTGGGATATGCTTCTGTGGAACAGATCCAACGATTGTTGCTGAGTAAAATTCTTTCTTTATCTGTTGGATTCTTCTACTCGTTGGGCATGGAATCATTATTCCACAGCACTTCCAAGTTGATATGCCCAGGACTGTACTGTAAAGATGCTTCAACTTCTCATGTATGTTTTCAGAAGCAAGGATAGTTATGATCTAGAGATGATTCCAGACCTGCCTTTTCTGCTTTTCAAGTTGCCAGAGTCCCATTAGGAGAATGCATCACAGCAGGTTTTTTTCCCTAGTATTTATTGAAAAATTTATAACAAGGCAATCTTTTGCACAGACTGTATTTTCAGATCAGATTGTTTTGCCCACCAAATTATTTATTCGATTAAAATGGCTCTTAGGGAATTGGCTTCCCAAGGATGCATGCATTCTTCAGAAGGATATCAGGAGTTCATCAAAATGTTGATAATTTGTCCATGAACATGGACAATGTTCATGGACAAATTATCAACATTGCAACATATTCCATGTTCAGGAACATTGCAAGAAATTGCAACACACCCCATGTTCAAGAACATAGAGTGTGTTGCAATTTTTTATTCTCAGTTCTTGCCAGTCTCAAGATTTGCTCAGTAGGTTTACCTGGACCAGGCAGCAGAATTGTTTTAATACTGAAAGCCACAATTGGAGCACTCCCTGCCAGTGATTCATGGAACCAATATGTCTCTCTCCCTCTCTTTCATTTATTCAGCATCTGCTGGAAGAATAAAAGAATCTCCTTCCAAAATTATAAACTGATTATTGGTAGAAAGATGATGAATTTATGCTAAAAGTTCACATGTGATTTTCAGGTTGGCCAATTCAGCCCTAGACTATGATTAAATAGAGATTTTTAGTGATAGGAAAGACTGCAGGAAGGGGTCCAAAGTCAAGATCCAAAGTAAGAATTGTTGATTTTGGTAAAATGAGAACACTTCTTGTTTTCTTTAGTTCTCATTTTCTTGCATATCTCAATCCAGAGAATTTCTGGAGCAACCCACTTTCTGTCCATCTACTGTAGCAAATTTTTAGCTATTTTGCTTTACATGTGTACCATACAGACATTATCTCTTCAGAAAGGATAGAATATCTATATGATCTCTCAGAGATCAGGAATACAAAAATATAGACATTTAACTCTTAATTTCAGTAAGAACATAAGAATGTGCAACGATGATGGCGATGCACCATCAAGTCAGTGTTGACTGTTAGCGACCATGTAGATCAGTGTTGTCCAAACTTGGCCACTTTAAGATGAGTGGACTTCAACTCCCAAAATTCCCCCGCCCGCCAGTGCCGGGTGGGGAAAATGGGGAGGTAGAGGCCCACCACTTTAAAAAGGCAAAATTTGTGAAAAACAGTATATAAAAAAATTTT